TTTGTTGGTTGATTATATAATAATTAATGATATGTATCCTTTTAAAATTAAACTTTGAGATTAATAGTATTTTAGAAAATTGGTAGAAATTTATAGTTCTTATCAGAGATTTTGAAGTGTCTAATTCTTTAATATTTTTTTAGAAAAATCTAATAAAAGCATGAATTATTAAAGTGCATAAATTTTTTAATACTTAAATAATAATAATAATAATAATAATAATAATAATAGAACTTTTTAAATGTCTATTTTGAAGCATATCTTTCGAATCATTATCATCTCAGACATCAAATTGAACAAGTAAAACAGCAAAAATATCCAAGAATGCTTATCTCTTCAACTATAAAATGAAGAAGAAGAAAGGAAGGATTGAACTTACAATTTACTCACACGAGAAATCAAAACAAAGGAGGAGGACGACGAAGCTGAAATTGAATTTATAATTGAAATTGAAACGGTGGCAGAAGAGAAGATTAGGGCTGGGCTGGGCTGGGCTGGATCTCATTTTGCTGTATCGGGCTTTTAAGTTTAGGGCCAGCTTAGTCTAGTTTGAACCAGCGTTGGGATTTTTCAAAAAATTATTTAGAATTTTTTATTTTTTTAAATGCAAAAAAACTAGAAATGTCAACGGGCGGATTCAGGATGAGTTTTGCAGACCCCAGGAACCGCTCTGCTAGAAAATATTATGACTCAAAACCCGTCCCGCCCAGCTTCAACTCGGCCCCATGACCTGTCTCGCTTTGAAAATAAGATTATTTGGGGCCAACCTAAATAATCTTATTTTTTTTTAAGAAAATAATAAAATAATTTTTAAAAAAAATAGTTTAATACTAAATAAAAAAAAGTATGTGCTAAATACCAAAAAATTATAGTTCTAAAAATAAGAACAATCAATATTGACAATAGTTTGTAGTGATGACGGTCAGCCGATTATAAAAAAAATTGTAAGAAAACAAATGCTAAGATAAATTTGATTTAGAATTAAAGTTCTATTTTATATTTAATTTTTTTTAAATAAATAAATAATAGTATAATTTATATTGTATAAAAATATAAATAAATTATAATAATTATTAAAATACCCGAACCAGACCGGATCTAAAATTCAAAATTCACAACCCGTCCCGAATCAAATTTTTTAGACCCGAACCCACCCCATTAAAATCGGATCCAGAGTGGGTCCAAATTAACCCGACCTATTTGACATTCCTAAAAATAACATCATCACAAATTCACCATGAAGTTATCCCTTAGGAAACTGTAACATGCATATTTTATTTAATGAAAATATAGTTTTGTCACTTGTTTGTTAACGACAATAAATATCTATATTATTTTACTTGATAATTTCTTTAAGATATAGATAATCCAATAACATTTAAAAAGATAAAGATAAAAAAAAATAGAAAATACTATAAATATTATATAAAAATATAACATATAATACATATTTTATAAAATACTAGGATATGCTGTCAATTTTATTTTATATATGTGTTGAAGATTTATATATAATGTATTATTTAGTATATATTATAGTGCAATTAGTCAACACAGTAATAATCATCAAATACATATAACAAAATCAATTAGGTCGATGCAGTATAATTTTGTTATCGTCATATTTAAATATTAAAATATTAAAATTTGACCAATCAACGGTAGATTATGAATAATGGCAACCCAAAAAAATATAAGCCCAATGTGATGATGTATGACTTGTCTCCATCCATAAATTAAGATGGTTGACCGTTTGGTTGTAAAATGCATTGTCTTTAACAATACCATAATGACACCCGTGGTTGTCATAGAAGTAATAATTGGGAGAAAATGCAAACAAATTAATTCAGTCGTAATGGATTGGAGATATGGGGAAATTGGAGAAATGTTACTATAAGAAATTAAAGAAGTCTAGCCAATTTATCCACTCAATTTATCTTTAATTTTATTTTATTTTATCTTTTTGCATTCTTCTTTTTTATTTTTTTAGAATTGCGTAATTTGATATTAATTCAAATACAATTTGTTTGCGCCGTTCGTTATTCAATTAATTTACATTGTCTTTTTTCAAATTTATTGCATACTATCGGGGATTCGCATCGAATCGCCCGGGAATCCACATATTCTCCTGACAAGAAATTTTAGACCGGAAATTATTTTCCAAACCAACAATAATTGATGTTCAATACATAAAACTTTCATTACTAGTTTTAACATATGCTACTCACTATACTATTGGGCTTATTGTCGGTCTTGCAAAAACAACAAAGATGTGCAAAGTTCTATTATTAATATAGAGAAGTGTAATCTCTTAAATTGACTACATGACATATTATGTCATATCCTATTTATGTTTATAAGAAACAAAAAGCACAAATGAAGTAAATGTCTAAAATGTCTAGAAAACACTCAATTTCATTTCAGTGCAAAGAATACTAGTTATCTTATTTCACACAATCAACTTTGTTGTTCTGGTAAGCCCAGAATGCAAAGTTGGTAAGAAAATGCAGGTGAGTAGAATTCTAATGAGATTGTTGGGAAAGAATAAGTGTTGTACCAATATACTTTCGAGCACATATTTAAGGGCTAACTCTCGAAGCGTAGTTATATCACAGTTATAACGACATTTTGTCAACAAAATAAATACAGAGACCAAAGCAATAAATGACAAGATATTTGATAACCCGGCTCGGTTATAACCAACCTACATCCGGGGGATTCCAATCCGGGAGAGGTTCATTAATCAGTGTTGATTAAAAACAAAACACTCAAAACTCCTTCAACCCAAACTACAAAGCTAATTACTTAGGAATATCCCTCCACAGACATACGTTGTCACAAACAATTAACAAATAGCTGGGCTGCTCAGATTTTGAATATTCTCCTGATCGGAACTCCTATTCCCCTTCGACCGAGGAACTCTCCGACGAGATAGTAGTGTATATCACTCACTCAATGCATGGAGATAGGAAGGCTTGAGATTGAGAGGATTGTAACAATATTTCTCTCACTACACCTCTCTCTAAAACCACTACCTTCTCCTTCCCACAAATCTTGAGCTGTGTAAGGCAACCACAACGGGCATGTTGCAGACATGCAGTAAATTTCCTTGATACAAACAATGAATGGTGTGTATCTATTCACTTCTGAACACAAGAGGACAAACTCAAAATGTCTATTTTGTCTTGAAAAATCACCATTCCTAGGAAAGACAATAAAAGGCAACTTGAAAAGACTGCACAGCTGAGTCTGCACAGCTGGGTCAAATGTTGCTATTTTTGGAATCTAACGATAATAGCAGCAAAAAGAAGATTTGTCAATATGCCAAAAATAGGTGATGGAGTTTTTCAACTTAACAAAGATAAAGTATTTTTAATGCTCTCAACTTTGCGTCTCTCATTCTCCATATTTCGAAGGGTATTCAACTTATATATTCATTGAAACTATTACAGGAAGAAAGAGAAATCAAATATCCAACTAGAGCTGTCAACTAATTCATAGACAGCCTTACTCTCATCTAGATTAAGGATTTGTTGATGTTATTGCTTCAGAGTGAACCAAATACTTGTGCAGAATATTGCAAGGTGGACAATGAGAGCTAGGTATGTTAGGCGTTGTGGCTTAAATCCTTGTAACTTGAAGATAACTAATAGAGGACAAACTCCTAAATTGGTATCCATAGAGGTAAGTTCTTTATGATCAAACTGGGTCAATAAACTCTTTGTATTATTTATTTTGTTGCATACATTTACATTTATTGCTCTAGCACTAGGTTGTTATTACTACAAGTTTACCATATAATAACGGTTGTTTTTTTCATTATGTGGTTCATAACACCTGCACATTCAGTATGAGGAGTTGGACTATTTTTTGTGTTCGAGTGGATTATGGACAACACCAATTTTCAACATCCGGTATTAGAGCAGCATGCTCAACCTCCTGAATAGATTAACTTTTAGTGCAAAATGAATCAAAAAGACAACTCGACAACCAAGCCTTGCTTGTTTGATGGCTCTAACTATCATTTGTGGAAAACCAAAATGGAAGCAACTATGATATCTCAAGAAAATGATATTTTGGAAACTATTAAGTTCGGTGATAGCACTAATTTTTTGAACATATTTTTATAGTATTTCTGTAAACATATCTTACGATTTTTTATTGAATTTGTCATAATCAGTACCAAAATGTCTTGATAAATGCATTTTGTGTCATTTTTGTAGTAATTGATGTGTCTTGATATTTTGAGGTATTTCAAATCCAAAAATCATAAAGAAATGTATTTTGGGAGAAAGTGAAATATTGCGGGCGAAAACAAAGAATACAAGCCAATCTGTCTATTTGGAAATTTATTTTAAATGCGAATTTTGGCAAACCAAGTTGTCTTAAGAAAGATGGCAGATAACGATCCACATCTCAATCCGTGTCAGCAATCATCTTAACCGTTGATTCAGTTCGTCAGGTATCAAAAGTAACTTTTGTCTTCTAAAAATTTAACCGACGCCTATAAATAAGACTCAACTTGAAACTCATTTATCCAAATTTGACGACTTGATAATATGAAATTCACATTTCTTGAAGAAAAGCTCAAGCAGTAAAACGCGTGCTATCCACCCATCTCATTTTAAGAAACTGTATCCTATTTGTTTTATTCGTGTGACTTTGTCCATTTACAATTATTTTTTATTTTTTTACTATTCAACAATCATAATTCCTAAAAAATATACTATTTTCTGGCAGGAATCACATCAAGTCAAGAATCATAATCCAAAAGAATTGATGAATTTTGATTTGAATCTGAATCTTCTAAATGACTACATATGCAAGCTCACCCAAAACACTTTGTATCCTTAAATATAAAGATAAATATATCATTTCCAAAATCTTATAAATATATATATGTACATATATACATATACTTAAAATGCAAGTGTTTTGAAAAGTGTGACCATTTTGTGCCAACACACCATGTAGACAATAATGTATATCAACACCCAATCTGAACTAGTGTATCCTAATTTCCATTCATCCTTTCCATAATCTGAAGTTGCAATAAATCCCTTAGTTCACAAATATTTTAGAAAACAAAACATTCATGAGACCAAATATTATCCTGTAAATGGATATGCAAAATCATATTGTTTTCCATCAAATGGGGAATTAGAACGGATGAATCTCCTCAAGCAGCTTGAGAAAGAGGTTGATTTCCGCCAACAGCTTCACTCCTGTAAGCATAGACACACATGAGATTAGAAAGAATTCACTCATTATTTACTCGAAGTTAACATATGTGAATTAAATCAACTCCAATAATCCCATGTAATAAAACACAGGATGTATTAAAATTTCAGTGGTACTTCCTTCTACTCTTAGTTTGGCGAAGTGCTGCCAGCAAGAGGGTCTTATCAAGCAGAGTAGCCTTAAACTTTGTATTTTGACATAGGTCATTTATAACTTCAAGAATAAGCAAAACAATCGTAAAAACTTTCCTTAATAGCATATGCAATTAAGTTGTCCGACAGTTCAACAGGTGGTTAGTTTGTTTTCCGTGTTACCAAAAACTCAGCACAATCAACCAAATATGGTTCTTATTCACAATCTCTAAAGTTAAGTTACTAAAAATTCATCTAGAACAGCCAAATGCGTTCAGTTCCTACACACTGTTCCTAAATAATGATTCGAGAACAACTCTGCTTACAAAAATTTCGGCTCCACTTAGATAGAAAGTTTTGGAGTTTTGATAAAACTTTGAGAATAATAGAAAATTATATTTGATGTGATATTTTAAAAAGAAAAATGTATTAGATGTGATGTTTTTGAAAAAATTAACTTGAATAGTGTCAAAAGTTTCAAAAAATGTCTGCGTCTACAAAGCCTCTTTTCTGGTTAAAAATTAAGTACTTGTGCTCTACTACATGAAACAGACAAAATAAGGATGAACTGCTTGCGCCATTCTGTGTATATGCATGTACATTACTTGAACACCAAATCACAATAAGGAGTCACTAGAGTTGAACTGCGATACTTTGAATACAAATATTAGAAAATAAAATAAAATCTTTACCTCTTTTGGCCTTCTCCAACTTCTACTCTGAGAAAGTTTTCAATTCTCACAGTGGAACCTATTTCCTTGGACAGATTATCCAACAATGTCTGCAAAAGATGCACAAGATATTGAAAGAATTACAATGAGAAGATCCAGTAAAACTACTACCAATACCCATCAAATTTAAGGTTGGACAGAGAAAAACATTCTCTAATGTTGTTTTCAGATTGGAACACTAAAGTACTGCTTCAAGTTCACATCGTTTATGATTTGGAGGGAACTCACAGGAGAACTTTCGTCGATTACTCCCTCATCAATTTATGATGTTTGGAGTACACCAAACAACATTGAAAGGGTTATTCAAGAACACCATAAATTAGAAGGCAAATGAGCCTCAACGTAAGGATATAAATTATTCTATCTACCACTTCATTGGTTTCAGCAGCCTCACATTACATTGTGCATACTACATTCAAGAGGAGACAAATTTATGTATTTATAAAATGACTACTATGTAATCGGATGGTCTTTGCTTTGGTAAAATGAAAATGACGGAAGTAGAGAATAAAACAAACTGGGAAATAGGAAACGAAACCCAACATCTAAAAAGACTGCACGATACCTTTATGTTTACTGTATCATTCACAACAAACTTCTGCTCCATAAGAACCACTTCCTCAAAATACTTTCTTAGTCGACCTTCAACCATCTTATCTATAGCCATCTGAGATTTCCCAGTACTTTCTGCCTGAAAAAGAAAACAACAAAGTAGCATGAAGGAGAAGAGAATATTTACACAAAAATGGTGAAGATGATTTAATACAAAAACATTGTTTAAAGAGAATAGTAAACAACTACTAAACAAATAAGTAAAGAAATTGATGAGAAAAAAGGCTCAAACTTAGTTTGAATTCAAGGAAAAATGCCGAAGAAAAATTTTGCAAATAAGGATCTGAGTTCAGTCGTGCTATAAGATAGAACAACATTTCTAAAGAGTTTGTTCAGAGCCTGCTTAACGTTGCTCTAAAACTAATGAGCATTTTTCTAATGAGCCTTCTTTTGAAACCCGATCTCTTGACACAAGGTATTGTTTTCAGACCAAACTATTGTTACTTTCATAGATTAGCAAACAACTAGCCCTCTTCATAAGATAAAACTAGAAATGTAACCGAAGATTAAATTCAATGGAACTGTGACTGGAGAGGGGTAAGGAAAACATATTCAAACCAATGCAGTTTCATGAAACCAGAAACAAATTCTCCAACCACCACAATTGTTCATACACGCAGTATGACAGTCACTGAAAGACAGATCGTAAACTAATCTCTTTTAAGGATCATGGTAAAAATGCAAACATTGTGATCAATCAGATAAGCAACCACGCTGACTTAAGGTTTTACAATGTTATTCCAAACACTTTTCTTACTGATTAAACATTTTGTGCTTCAGAAGAATAAGAAATGGCACTTCAGATTTTCTTGAAAATATATGAGAGGCCATTGAGTTTAACAGATAAATAACACTAACACAACTGTGACAAATTCACCATACATACAAACTGTAAGTACCTGAGATCGAAGAATATCACGCTCATTTCCTAATGCGTCGGGAGAAACATCTTCCTTTGTCAGGAACAATGGCTTTGCAGCTACTACATGCATCGCTATTTCTGACCCAACACGCTCAACAGCATCCAGTGGGACATCCTTATTTTCTACCTCAAGTGATAAGAGACCAGCAATACGTCCTATACCTGAAATCTCAGATTGATTGCAAGAACATGATTTGAAGTCTAATATTGTGTCATCATACAATACACTTGAAAGATTTGGAAATGAAAAATTACTGTTCTTATGTTTTGACAATTTGATATAAAAAGTTTTCAATATAGCCGCTTCAAGGAAGCTCAGTGAAGGTTTTTACCTGGTTGGGGGCTTGTATGGAGATATGTGGTTAAGACACCATGGGAAGGTGCAGATACTGCAAAACCCCCTCCAACTTTGACATTTTCACCCATCATTGCAGCCACTTCTGTAATTGCGTCTTCAACAGTTTTCTGTCCAGCTAATTTAGGATGGTCAAAATTCATCTTCAAATTCTGTAGAAAAATTAATATGCATATATACATCAGAATCATCAAGTATGGTTAGCGATCAAGCATAAACCAAACTGGTCCTTTTGCTAGAAAAAGGCAGAGGTGCAGAGCTGCCACGTTCATGAGATTAATCTGTAAGTAGGATATTTGAAAAGTCGGAATGGCCACAAGAGTCAATTGATTGGAATATATTTGGATAATGGGTACATTTCAAACCCAAAATATATACTAAAAATTCTTCTGCAGACATAAATAAGACAGTTTGCTCACCTCCAGAAACTCAGCACTAACGGGAACAGTTGAAGAGGCCTGGTTAGATCCATCATTCAGCAAAGCAGACTTCGCCAAAGATAATGCCTAAACAAATCACAATTTGTACAGAAAAGATATATCTGATCAAGGAGATGGAACTAGAAGTAAATTGGCAATGAAAGGAATGTCAGTTGTAAATTATAAACCAGAAAAAGAAAAAAAGAAGAAAGAAAGAAAAAAGAAAAGATAATCTCGAGAGACGAGAAGGATTATATCCTATGTTTATGTAAAGACTTTTAAATCTAAAGGTTCATTAGGTAAACAAAGGATTATATCCTATGTTTATGTAAAGACTTTTAAATCTAAAGGTTCATTAGGTAAACAAATTTAGAGTCGATACACAGATTGAGACAGTTTTTATATGAAAGGCAACAGAAAGAATATCAATTTTGACACTTACCAAATACTGAAAAATGTCGTTCCTAGCAACAAAATCAGTCTCACAGTTGAGTTCAACAATAACAGCCTTCTGTTGATTTTGAGCCAACGCAAGAAAACCCTCAGCAGCAGTTCGAGAGGACTTTTTTGATGCAAGAACTACCCCCCTTTTCCTCAAATCCGTCTGTGCAGCTTCTGACGTAATCAACATGGCCAAATCATGAGACAAAGCTACAGGGGGTGACAATTTCCAATTTCAGAAACTGGAAAAGAAATAACTGAAGATGCAGACGCACCGATATCCCAGTTGCAAGCAACAAGGGCGGATTTCACTTCCTTGATCGGAGCACTTGTTCTCTCCCTCAGCTGTTTTATAAGATTTGTTTGTTCAGATGCAGAAGCTTGAGAGGAGTACCATCGACTTCTGATGCATATTCTGAAACTATTGGTTGAATTGGAATAATTTGGAAAACCAGAAGCTTTATTTTGCAAAAGCCTAGTAAAAGACATTCCTTGATCTTGATGATGTGCTACAGCTGTAGAATAACCATGGCCACATTTCACTGGACTCGTCAATTTCTTATATAGGATTCCAATGGGGCGTGTAAACTTCATTGAACTAATATCCTAACCCTGGAACAAAGATGAACCAAACCCCTTCAGAATCATTAAGAAATACATGAAAATCGACAATATACATTGATCATAAGCATGGTTCGCCGGATCGGCCAGGACCGTTCCGATTCGGATATTTCCTTTTGTCGCTCGCTCTCTTTTTCGTTGTCGTGCTCTTTTCTTTTTTCTGTTTCGTACTCCTCTTTCAATTTAAAATGTGAAAAAAATTTAAGAAGAAAACGGCATTGAAGAGGAATTGAGACGAATTTTGAGAGGATACCGCCTGCTGCGTGCGGTTTAGACTTGCCATAATTGTTTTTTTTTTTTTTTTTTAATCTGGCCGTCCGTCGCGCAAGAGCAGAGCAGGAGAAGAAGAAGAGGTGAAGAAGAAGAATCGGTGAAAAAGAAGAAGAAGAAGAAAGGAAAGAATCGGTGAAGAAAATAAGAACGAGGAAGAACCTGGTGGCTGCCTTGGTTAGTGCGGCTGCGGCTGCGGCTGCGGCTGCTGTGGCGTGGAGGAGTAAAATGATTTATTAGCTCTTAGGGCATTAGGATTTTAGGCAATTTTATATATTTTAAAATTATAATAATATGTTTAATTTAATTTTTTTATATATTATCAATTTTTTTATTAAATGAAAAATTATTAATAATATTAAAAAATACTAGTACTAATACTATAATATTATTTTTTATTTATATTTTTTTAATTTTTAATTATATTATTAATATATTAATATTTTTATAATTTATTTATATATTTTTAATTTATAATTTAATTTAATTTAATTGCTTATTAAATTTATTGTTTAAATTATTTTTACATTATAACAATTTAATTAATTATTGTTTATATAATGAATATATAATAAATAAATTTAAATAGAGTTCAAATTTTAAAAAATAAAATAAAATAAAAAATATATATTTATTAGGTTCGATTTCGATTTCGATTTCGGTTTAATATTTTAACAAATTGTAACCGGTGGTTAATCGTAGTCGGCGGTTTGAACCTCATGGACAAGTATGGTGCGGTTGGGTAAAACTTTTGAATTTGAATAGTTATATGATGTGATATAAATAGGTGTTAGACGTGATATTTAATTTTGAATATAAAATTGATTTTTAGTATAATATAAAAAATAAAAAATAGGTATTTGATTTGATGTTTAAAAAAATAAAAATTAGATGAATAGTGTAAATCCAATTCAATCCCCCCAAACAAACACACCGTTAAGTTAATTTTGATTAATTTGTTTATTTAATTTATAAATTTAATTCAATAGCTACTACATGAGTGAATGAAGCATATCTTCTGAATCATAATCACCTTCGGCATCAAATTGAAATAATAACAAAACAACAAAAATTTAATGCTTAATTCCTCAGCCGTAAGAAGAAGGGAAGGACTGAACTTACAATTTACTCGCACATTTGCTCTGACCAAGCCGACTGTGGAATCGATGGAAGGAGGACGAAATGGTGGCAGAAGGTTTGGGCTGGGCTGGATCTCATTTTGCATAATTGGGCTTATGTGTAGGGTCATCTTAGGGCGGGTTTGTTTGGGGGTTTGGATTTTGAGTTGGGATTTGAATAGTAAAAATTTTGAATTTGAATAGTTGTATGATGTGATATAAATAGGTGATGATGTGATATTTTGAATGTAAAATTGATTTTTAGTATAATATAAAAAATGAAAAATACGTGTTTGATTTGATATTTTTGGGGGGAAAATTTTGGATAAATAGTAGAATTTTGGTAAAATTCTTAAACGAACAAACCCTTAGTATATTCTGGACAAGTGTTGGGCTTTCTTAAAAAATAAAATAATGGTATGGAATTGAGCTTAAATTTTTAAAATAATAAAATTAAAAATTAAAAATAAAATTTTAACATAATAAAAATAGATGTTTATTATTTTAATAAAAATGGGTTTGTTTGGTTTTGAAGAGCTATATATGCAACCACAGTAAATTAATTCTACAAATTCCTAGTCAACTCTGCAAATTAAAAAAGTTACTCTGGGTGTGCTTGCTTGGAGTTTGAATTTTTAGTTGAAATTTGAATAATAAAATTTTTAAATTGAAATAGTTGAATGATGTGAGATAAATATGTATTGATGTGATATTTTGAATGTAAAATTAATTTTTAGTATAATATAAAAAAATAAATGTTTGATTTTATATTTTTTGTGAGAAAATAATTAATAAATAGTAAAAATTTAAAATTTTTTAATAAAACAAGACAACCTTTATGAACTTAAAAGAGGCTTCCAAAGTGGGTATAAAATACTAACTAAACGAGTACTCGAATTTGAATTTATACAATTTTTTCATGATAATTGTTTATTCATCAAGTAGCACAATCAAAATATTCAGGTTCTGAGTGTACATACGGATGATATTCTTTTTAACTGATTTATCCTCTCGATTACTACAAGAGGTGAAGATCTATTTATATGAAACTTTCACCGTCAAAGACTTGGGAGATGCAATTTTCTTCTTAGGAATTGAGATTAATCAACAATAAAGGTGGATTAGTCTTGTTCCAAAGACAATACATTCATGACATTCTTAAAGACGTGAAAATGCATGAGGCAAAGATTGTCTTTACACTATTACCAACTATTTTGAAATTATGAGCTAGTGATATTATTAATCCTTACTTAGATACTACTCAATATAGCGGGCTAGTATATCTAAATTTTTCTAAGCCAGACTGTCTATTTACAACTCAACAACTTAGTTATTCATAAACAAATCATTAATGACATATTGGAAGGATGTTGTCCATCTTCTCAAATACTGAAGAGCACAATGAATTATGGATTTTTCTTCAATTCATATTTTTCGTTACAATTAGAGACTTGTCCTGATAGAAGATAGTCTGTAACTAGTTACTGTTTGTTCTTTGGTAGAATTGTCTCTTGAAAAGCCAATAAACAAGCTATTATAAACATATCCTCTACAAAAATAAAAGGTAAAATTGTTTGTAACTCTCTTGTATTTTCGAAATTCAGCGTAAAATCTTCTTGTACTTTAAAAATTGCACGACGCCTCCTTGTACATTAAAAAATATTGCATAAAACCCTACCGCCATGAAACTTCTCTTGTGCAATAAGAAGATGATTTCCTATCTATATTTTTTGCATGATGTTAAGGTTTTATGCAACATTTTTTAAATATAATGGGGTGTCATGCAATTTTTTAAAGTAAAGAGGGGATTTACGCTAAGTTTTGAAATTACAGAGAGTTTCATGCAATATTTTTGAAAGTAAAAAGGGGCGTCATGAAATTTTTAAAGTAAATAAGGGATTTACGCCAAGTTTCGAAACCACAAGGGAGTTATGGACAACTTTGCCAGAATAAAATATAGGAGCATGAGTACAACAACCTGTGAGTTGTGGATCTTATTTTTACTAAAAGCTTTGAACATCTCAGTATTGTAGCCAATTCTCGTACATTGTGATAACCAATTAGTCTTGCATATCAGTTACAATCTAGTCTTTTACAAAAGAACCAAGCACATACAGATTGCTTATCACATTATTAGGGTCTTTTCATTCTACCCATTCATGTTAAAGGCAAGCATGAACCTGCTGACATTTTACGCCTTTGTACAAGACTCTTCGCGCCAAGTTCAACATGATTGTCATTGACTTGAAAAAAGGGTGTCAAGATATGTAGAGAAATGGTGAAGAAGCAGACAAAGAAGATGATGACATAAAGAACACTTGACAATTGGCTCAATATAGTGGGTTAAATGTATTTTATTTCTTTTATGTGTTTAAAGTAGTTGCTTAGTCTATTAGCATAAGCTAGTTTGTTTAGGTTGTTATAAAAAAAGTTTTTAGGCATGTAACTCATTTTATATACATCTATTTTTCTAAGAAATTCTCAATTTATTCAAGCCACTGCATACTTAATTTTCCAAAAGGTTGAAATCAGTGTTTTATAGTTTGGATATGTATTCGTAAAGGCTTTTTCCTCTACAAACTATCGTGATTACTTAAAAAATATTGTAGATAATAACAATAGAAGATAAAAATTCAAGGAAACAAACTATAATATTTTAGAAAAAAATTGGTTTTTAGTTTTTTCTGTGACCTTTATTATTTTAGAACCATAGTTGGATCTTATATTGATTAATCCCATAAGTTGCTGATGTGACAGGGCGTCGTGGATACATAAAAAAATTATGAGAATCATTTTAGAACTATAACTAGAATTATTATGATTAGTACCATAATTAAAAAAAACTTGGCAGAAATGATCCTCAAATGTTGGTCATGTATTATCCACACAATCTCCAGCGTGCCACGGTGCTGCCATATCAGCAATTCCGCCGTCTAAGTAGGGGGATGAAAATGGGTCAAAGTAGACCCGAGATCTTACCCGAACCCGACCAATTTATAATTATATTCTCACTTATTACTTAAAAAAAATCTATAAACCTAGCAGCACATTCGCACGCACAAAGCGCACCACGACAACCACAGTGTCAGTTCTCTTTTCTAGATTTCGATTTCTTTGATTTTCCTCACCAATCCATTCTCCAACTCAATTTACCATCGTCAAACAATGTTGTTTTTCCTATAATGTAAAATATTGTGTAATTTTATTTCTTTATTTTGTTGCTATGATTTTTTTTTATATTATTTGTTTTTAAAAATTTTATCAGATCTTTGTAGATTGTGTGATTTTTTTCTAGTTCGAATTGCAATGATGATTTATTAGTTAAGTGCATATTATGCAATTTGTTTTATTTCTAGTGTTGTCGGTGGTCTGCCACTCTGCCTGCCTGCGCTTGCATGAGTGAGTTATTATTATTATTATTTTCTAAAATTATTTGAATAATTGATAATTTGATAGGTCATAGTTCTATTAGATCATTTGGTATAAATATTTGAAATTAGTTCAAATACAGTGATGTTTGCATGCAATTTTCCTTTTTATGCCTTCTTCTTGTATCTTCGCGTGCAATAGTGCAATTTATTTATTTTTTCAAAAATTAAATTGATAATTTGATAGTTTATAATTTTTATTAATCTATTTGATATAAAAAAAATTAATTCAAATGCAATGATGCTTGCGTGCAATTTAACTTTTTCTGCCATTGTCCGTGTTGCTCTTGTGTTGTCTGCGTGCAATAGTGTAGTTTTCTTCTAAAACATAATTCATAATTCATAGCTCTCAAATGTATTATTATTATCATTTTTTTTTACTTTTTTTTTAGATGGATTCTGAATGAGCTGACAATTTTATTCCGCCGGTTGGCAGCATTCAAGAAAATATAAATACACAAGAAACTCCTAAAGAAAAATACTAACAATAATAGTTTGAAAACTAATGACTTCACCGATGTAAAAAAAAATGACATCAAAATGGTGAGAGATCATTTTTAAAGGAAAAAGATTGATGTGATATATGCGGAACGCAACTATTACAAAGCCTATCTCAAAGCACTGAGTGGTTATGAAATGACAAATTTGAAGAAAAATTATGAAAAGATTTGTAAAAAGTGATAAAAAAAAAAAAGGACATTCGACAAAGTGTTATGATGGTAGGAAGCAAAAAACTTGGAGGACGTCAAGCACTTGAAATCTGTATGTTTAATAAGAAGATTCAAGGCAGGATCTTGCAACAATGGTGATAATTATCCGTTGCCAATGGTCAATCATATTGGTTTTTGGAGATTTTTTGGTAATCTTAAACTATGTTTTAACGTGATTAAAAAAAGTACTTTGAAATGTGACCTTTTTAAGATTAATGAGATTTAAAATATGAAGTGTTATGAGATATTGGATAAACTTAATAGTCGAATTGTCATCACAACGGACATGTGGACCTCAAACAATAATAAAAGATGATTTAATAAAAAATGATTTATGTCAACTACTGGATATATTATTGATGACTGTTAGACGGTACAAAATGTCATTTTGAGATATATTTATTTAAAAATATTTTTTAATTTTATTGTATATATAATTAAAATTTACTAACAAATATTTCACAAATTGTTACATTTCACACAATATTATAGGCAAAAACACAAAATCCACCCGTGATTTCACGAAATTGTATCAAATCTCTCGTGCTTCCAAAACTGTTTCAGACTCCTTTATAGTTTCATAAATTTTGCGTCTAACCCCTCGGTTGTTCTTATTTAACAGTGTTTGATATGCATGCGCCCAAATTGTGAATGAGTTTCAAAATATTCATTTAAAAACTTTTGTAGTTACAAATATACTAATTCTTCTTAAATTTAGTCTAAAGGAACGATAAATATAGTAAAAAATAGTTGTTTTTTCTCTAGTTTTAAGATAATTTTCTTTATTAACATTCTTTGGGGCTAAATATAAGAATGAATATATTTATAATTTTAAGGGTTTAGAAATGGAGATTCTGAAACTCATTTTCAATTTGGTCACATATAAGTCAAACACCATTAAATAAAGACGGTCTAGTAAATTAGACACATAATCTATGAAACTATGAGTGAGTTTGACAAAGTTTTAAAAGTATAAAAATTTAATGTTATTTTGTAAAACCATAAATGAAGTTTGTATAGTTTTACCAAATATTATATACAAACTATTATTCAAACTAAAATTAAAAAAATCTCAAATAAATATATTCTTTATTATTCAATTCTTCTGTAGGTTTAATCCATTTTATTTTATTTGATCGTCTGCGTACTCTGCACCAAATATATTTATTTTTAAATTTATATATTATAAATAATACATCTAATTCTATATATTGACAACAATATCACTTAATAATTTTTTTAAAAAACAAACATAAGTTTATATCTATCCATTTAACACAACAAATTTTTATATGTTAAATACTATTTCATCCCCTCTTTAGAATTTGCCAAGTTTTTTTCATGGCTTAAATCTATGTACAATCTATTTATAATAAGTAATTGTTATGGACAAAAAAATGTATTATTTTTAATAAAAATAAAATTTGTACAAATTATATTTGATTTGAATTTAAAGCGGGTCCTATTCTCTAAATGGGTCATTTGATTCTCCTTCCGGGTCAATTTATTTTCCAACTTGGTTTTTCTATGGCTTCTTTGATTTGAAGAGATTTGGTCTTCGGTTTTATTTTGCCGGACTTTGGAGAGCTTTGGTCTCCGTGCAGACGATTTGATCGTCAGCTTTGGATTTGATGTCCTCTTTGGACGATCCGAGATTTTGATATTTGATTTAGCTTTGTTGCCTTTTGGAGAGCTTTGGTGTCCGTGTAGCGATTTAATCATTAGCTTTGGATTTAATGTCTTCTTTAGACGATCCGAGGCTTTGATCTTTGATTTGGTTTTGCCACATTTTGGAGGGCCTTGGTCTCCATGATGACAAATTGATCATTAGCTTTGGATTTAGTGTCTTATTTGGACGATCTAAGGCTTTGATCTATGATTTAACTTTGTCGCCTTTTGGAGGACTTTGGTCTCCGTACGAACAATTTGATCATCAGCTTTGGATTTGGTGTCTTCTTTGCACGATCTGAGGCTTTGATCTATGATTTGGCTTTGTTGCCTTTTGGAGGACTTTGGTCTCCGTGTGGGCAATTCGATCATCAACTTTGGATTTGGTGTCTTCTTTGCACGATCCGAGGCTTTGATCTTTGATTTAACTTTGCCGTCTTTTGGAGGGTTTTGTTCTCCCTGTAGGCGATTTAATTGTCGGCTTTGGATTTGATGTCTTCTTTGGACGATCTACGGCTTTGATCTTTGGTTCGACTTTTTTGCCTCTTTAGTCTCCGTGTGGGCGATTTGATCGTCTGCTTTGGATTTGATGTCTTCTTTGGACGATCCGCAGCTTGGATCTTTGAGGAGGTAGATTTGGTGCTCCATAACACTTTTGGCAGCATGTCCCTTTGACTTTTGAATCGAAGAGGGCCTGGTTAATGCTTTGGTGAAGAACGCGACGAACACCTTGAAGCTTTGGGATGAACTTTGGATGTTCTTCATTGGTTTTGATGGACTCTTCAATGGCTTTTGGAGCTTTGATCCTTAAAGAGGTGGATTTGGTGCTCCATAACACTTTTGGCGGCGTGTCTCTTTGACTTTTGGATCGAAGAGGGCCTAGTTGATGCTTTGTTGAAGAGTGCGATAAACATCTTGGAGCTTTGAAAGGAACTTCAGAGACCTTCCCTTAACTTTGACGAATTCCTCGACGGCTTTGAGAGCTTTGACCCTTCCTCCAGCTTAGATATACGACGAAGAATGTTAACTCCATCGATTCGTCAACCAATATTGGATCATTTGTCCAAATCAGTGACTTTCGACAAAGAACGCTTCGAAGGATACGAAGAATATGAAGAACAATACAGAGAGAGTCTAGAGACCTACCCATTTGCTTGAACCCTCGATGTAACTTCGGTGTCTCAAATGAACTGGCCATGGCTCCTATTTATAGGAGATGGGTGACCTCGGCTTCTTTTTTTAATGATGCCACGTGGCGCGTTCTGATTGACCAACATAAAAATTTTATAATACTCCCTTTTCCATTGGATGCCGTTTTCCATTTTTAACGGATTTGATTGTGCACATTTGTTTCTCACCAAGATCTTTATATCATTGTTTTTTTCAGAAGATATTAATTTATATACTTTCTTTATTGACAAGATTAATTTATTTTGTTGCCAAATTTATTATGGTTCTATTTATGCACGTAATATTTGTACGATATCTTCCATTTTAAGCAAATTTTTGCATTAATGGTTGATATTTATTGTACAAAAATTAACATATATGCATAATTAAATACCATATATTTATTTTGTTGAAATTTTATTTTCTTCCAAAATACATTATATTTAATTTAATTTAGACATTTAATTTTTAATACCTACAATTGTATTCAACTATAATTTATTATCCTTATTTTAACAAATAATAATCAATTTATCGCTATTTTTTTTTTTATCAATTAGTTAACAAATTTTTATAGCGCTTTACTTTTTACCTACTATACTTTTATATTAAAATCTCCCTCGTTTTTTATTTTTGTGTCCAAATAAAATATCACAATTAGCCCGATGGAGAGAATATTATTCTTTATACCCGGTAAAAAATAAATAAATAGATATATAGTATTTCTTTTGAAATATAGTATTTCAAAACTTATACCACAAAAATTGAATTAATCTACAAAACCAATGTCCTAAACAGACACACCACACACAATCCAAACCCAAATCACATATACATGCACACATTCATACACATATATATATGTATAAAAGACAATTTTCGAACAAATATTTCCTACATAGTAATTTGTCACTTGCAACAAATAGTACTAGTGTTCATCACCTTGGCCCAGAAAGCTCCATGCAGTGAGCATCATAGTCATCATCCATGGCCGCCAACACGAAGGCGCTCGACGACATGTCCGTGTCCTCATTCAGACGCAGCCTTGCCGCACTATCACAAGACAAATTCGCCGATCCATTGAAGATGTAGTTGTGGGAGGCTGCCCATTTCTCGGCCAGCCCGTCCCCTTCCAGCATCCGAACAATATCTGACATTTTTGGCCGATGGGCCGGCAAATATTGCGTGCAAAGTAACGCCACTTGCAACATTTCGCCTACCTCTATCGGGTCGAAGTTCACTGCCATCTCTTTATCCACCAATTCCTCGTACTTCTTCTCCTCTTGTATCTTCTTAACCTACATTCCAGAGATTGGGGATATGAGAACATGTGATTTGCTAACTCAAATGTGATTTTCGAATACATGGAACATCAAATCTATAAATTTCATATTAATTATTATTTATTTTTATAAAATATTAGTATTAAATATTAAATTTATATTATTCTAAGAAAATAATTCAGAACTTTCAACATTCTCTAAATATATTTAAAAGTGAGATAAAATAATAAATTATCCTGTAAAAGTGAGAGATTAAAAAAATAAATTCATATAAGTTACTATTTGAAGTTTTAAAAAAATTAAATATTTAATGTGATATTTTTTTTAACTAAAATAAATATTTAATATGATATTTATAAATTAAAAAAAATTACTATGGATAAATATACTAAAACTTTTAAAAACATATACATAAATAAAGTTAACTTTTTGTATTAGTGAGACCAAAACATAGCCAAATTTGTTATAGGATAAAAAAAAAAAAAAAACAATGCTACATTACAACGTTTAATTTTTCCTATTCAGGTTTTGCCCATAAAAACATTCACAAGTTATTGCAATAGATCTAATCAAATCATACTTTATACTCTATGGTTTCTTTTTTTTTTTTTTTTTTTTTTTCCTTTCTTTTTACAATTAATATATTAATTTCTTCGATAATTATTTTATATATAGAAAAAATCAAGTGAACGAATGTAACAATTATGGCAAATTGAGAAGGTTAAAAGGGGCGTACCCATTGTAGCACAGCACCCTTTTGGTGTACGGACTTGCCAAACTCAAAAGCTCTCATTCCAGTTATGAGTTCCAACAGCAGAATCCCGAACCCAAAGACGTCTGTTTTCTCCGACGACTGGCCCGTCGAGAGGTACTCGGGTGCAATGTGACCAACCGTGCCACGAACCGCGGTTGTCACGTGAGACTCCGCATGGTCCAGTAGCTTAGCAAGCCCAAAGTCACCCACCACAGCCTCGCACCACTCGTCCAGCAGCACATTCGCCGCCTTCACATCCCTGTGAATTATCTTCGGGTCGCATTGTTCGTGCAGATATAGCAGCCCCCTTGCTGCCCCTATCGCTATTCTCTTCCTCGTGCTCCAATCCAAAACCGGCTTCCCTGCAAGTATAAATGAATCGAATCCTCGACTATTATCATATAATGGTTAAAAGTTAGAAATTTTTCATTAAATGTGTGTGAAAGGAATTTTATGTACTAAGTAAGTTTGATGTCATCGAACTATATCTAATTATCATCTTTTGTTCGGCTAGTGTTTATTTCTACACGATTACCAAAATATTTCTATACATCAATCAAAAACACAAAACATCATTTCTTATAATATTTTCACGATTCTCAATACCTCGTACCAGAATATCTAAAACTATAAAAATTAAACAAACACAATGTTGGTTACCTCAACTAAAGATAAGTTATCCAACGAAATCGAAAATATAGATTTTTCCCGACAAGGTAACATGTACAGGATTAAGATAAGAAAATCGATTTATCATAAGAAATAGATGATTAAAGCACATGCGAAAAGATATATGAAATAAAAGTGATAATTAACCATAAGTACGAAAATAAATAGGCAACTTTCTGGCTGAAACTTTGCAAAGATTGTCCCAATCAAACAATGGACAAACATCCAACCTTTAGAGCCTTTTGACCTTCTAAGAACATAAACTAAGAGCACATAACATTCGCGTGAACACGAAAGAAACATGAAAAGCAATGTTTGGAAAAAGTCATCTATATCTCAAAGCATACCTACTAAAGTAAAGAGCGAACCTAAAGTTGGGGAGTGAAGGCGATAGGCAACTAAGTGATACAAACAACATAGTTCACCAAATCTACCTAAGAACACAAATTAAGAGCACATAACATTCGCGTGAACGCAAAAGAAATATGAAAAAGAATGTTTGAAGAAAGTCATCTATATCTCAAAGCATACCTACTAAAGTAAAGAACGAACCTAAAGGCGACATGCAACTACGTGATACGAACAACATAGTTCACCAAATCTATCAAATCGAAAGCCATAATGGTAACAAAAGTTATAACAGGGAAGAATTCGAGCTGACATTTATGACTGACCTCTAAGCCTCAACGCGACGCTGCCATTGGGCATGTATGGATAGACGAGGAGTCTTTCGCTGGCCGTGGTACAGTATCCGATGATGCGAAGCAAATTTCGGTGGACAGCTAGGCTGATCATCTCTAGCTCGGTCCTGAACTGCGTTTCCCCAGTGGGAGTTCCCATTATGTCCTTGAGCCGCTTGACAGCCACCAATGTGCCATCACCGAGCTTTCCTCTGTAAACGTTGCCGAATCCTCCGGCGCCAAGTATGGTTTTTGGGCTGAAGTTGTCTGTCGCGTGCTGCAGCTCTTTGAACGTGAAGCTCCTCAAATTCCCAAATCGCGTGAGCTCGAGGTCGTCATCTTGAACATCTGCCAATGGAATATGAGAAGTAACATTAGCGTACCAATGAGTGGAGCTGTTATGCAACTTATGCTAGCCGAGTTATTCCAAACAGCTTTATTTTACATTATTAATCAATATCACCTATAATATTATATCAAAATACTTTTTGACTAGAAAAATATACTATTTTCGTCTAGTAAATTTAGTTTAGCTCCATTCCTTTATGTTTGTCTAAAGAAGTGGAACTAAATTTTCAGAGTAGAAAATATATTTAATATGACAAAAAAAAAAAAAAAAAAACTCAATTTAAACAAAGTCTTGTTCTTTAAAGACTCAACTTGTTTTACTTATTCCATCCCAAATCAATGGTCACATATTTTTTTGATATCAAATTAAAGAATTTTGATATTATATCTATAATATTTATTGGACCTTTCATCCGGAAGGAAGAGAGTATTAATTATAATAATTAGGCAATGCTTACTATGTTAATTTATAATTCAATACAATTCTAACAACTGTATGGACAAACAAGACATGATATAACTTCAAACATTATACAACTTATATTAATATAATGCAAATTTAGTATGTAAAGTACTAATATATAATATAGTTTTACATAACATATGCTACTACTAATTTAGCAAACAAAATATATATTCATACAATATATCTATCTATAACTATTAAATCACAATTCATGATTTATTCAACACAATATGTGTTATGTTAAATAAAAATGACATATTTATATATTTTATATTTGCCGGAGCAAATTTAGTTTCTCATAATAATGAATAGAATGAGGCTCGGAAAATACAAGAAGCTTATAAAGACAAATAAATTTGATTGGCGAGAAAACCCAATAAGGTAATAAAATAAAACTTCTATTATATTTTTAGTAAAAATTTGTAATGATCTCAAATTCGTACTATTTAATTCAAACTTGTTTATGTAACCAAGTGAATTTAAAAGTTCCACTAAATTAGGGGGAAAAAAGGATAATCCAGGTAAATAAAGATTAAAGTAAATATTTATTTCTTTGAATCCACTTTACTATACTATAATATTCTTTATAAGAATATAAAAGTGTAAAAGAGGGAGGCAAGCTGTTTCTTGCCTGTAATGTTCAAAATAGACTGCTTCGTTTTCCTGTTTCTTTTCCATAAGAGAAATCCAAACACAGCACCAATCACTGAAACAAAGCTGAGGCTCACCCCAACTGCGATGGCTAGCTTTCTTGACTGTTTCTTGTCTGAAATAGTTAATAAGTTTGTATTACTACAGCCTTAATCTACCCAAAAGCATATAATAAGTTCTTTAAATTTAATAATACTCTTGTGTATGGTATACCTGCAGATGGATCTATGGAGAATGAAAGTGGGCTACCAAGACTTGGTCCAGAGCACTTTTGTGTTGCACAGACCAAAGGGTTCCCCAGAATGCTGCAAGAACACGACAACAATCATTAAATAACATTGAAACCATACAAGCAAATACAAACAAAAACAATAGCAGCAGCAGCACTGAGTTTAACAAAAATCAAATCAAAGATGTTCAGAGAGAGAGAGAAGAGGCTTCACTTGAATGTTTTGGTAGGGAAATGGGGAAGGGGTCCACTGAGATTGTTGAAGGACAGATCCCTAAAAGAAGAACATATATACACAAAATCACATGTGCCAAAATCAGCCATAACAAAAGCTCATAAGCCAAAATACTGTGTAACAAATCATCATCATCATCGTCATCATTATTATTATCATCTCTATCACTCACTCACAAGAAAGCAAGCTGAGGAAGACTGGCTAACGACACAGGCACTGCCCCACTCAAGCTGTTGTTGTTCAACCTCCTAGTTATTACACACAATATCCAAACACGTACAAAGCCAAAGTCAAAGAAAAGGATGTCACATGAACACACAGATTTTAAAGCCCCAATGTAAAGCATTCAATGAAGAAAAATAATAAATAAACAGCTTAAAAAAAACCCAACATATACTGCAGGCTCTTCAATAATCCCAAAGAGTCAGGAATTTGAGCAGAGAGCTTGTTGTTGGACAGATCCAATGTCTGTAGGTCTCGAAGGTAGCCGAGCCCCTCTGGAATGCCTCCAGATATATTGTTGTTTTGCAGTAATCTGCGTCGGAAAAAATCGAACAAATTGAATCAACCGAAGAGTAAAAAAATTAGCATACTGAATTGAAATCGAATTTCATACACTTGTTTGAGGTTTGTGAGGTTAGCAATGCTCCCCGACAGAGTTCCTGATAACCCCTGACTTGGAGCTCCCCTTCATATACATAGTAGATTAGAAATAACTAAAAATAAAATAAAATAAAAAGAGGCGCAGAACTGTGAAATTTGAAAAAAATAAAATAAAATTAGGGTTTATCGTACAGAGCAGTGACGAGATTATCAGAATTGCAAGTGATCATGGACCAGCTGCAAGGGTCGACAGAGTCCTGGTCCCAATTAGCGAGTGCTCCGTGAGGATCATCCAAACGCTGCCTTATAGTGATGAGTGCTTCAACTGTAAATCAGAAATTAGTGAGAGCATAAGTGAAGAAAAAATTGCGACGATTATGAGGAACAGAAATTTGGGGATTTGGTAATGAAGAATCGTCTGACCTTCAGGATTTCGTGCCTGGAAAGAGAAGGCCGGATTGAAGAGACATGCTAAGAGATTGAAGGAGATGAGGAGCAATTTGATGCGGAGAACCATAGACATGTTTGATTCGAGCTTCGAGCTCAGAGCTTAGAGCAGAGCATCTCTCACGCTTTGTTCTGTTTCTTTGGCTCACAAGAACTCCATGAAAGTGTAGAGCATGCAAACTGTGTTTGTGTGCATTTTTGAACGTCTTTTTATATTAACATCACATTGTTTTTCGTATTTAATCATATTTATTATTTTTAAAAAGTATTGCTATCTACTTTTGAAATTTAGTTTTAACTTTTTTTAATAGTATAAAATTACAATTTTTTTTTTTTAATGAAAATATGTTGGGTTATCGTATAATAAATATAAATAATTGAAAAATCTGTATATATATATATATATTGATTTAAAAAGCATTCTGGTCGGGTTTTAGCGACAACATATAGTGTTAACAAATAATACTCTCTTAGTTCAATTCTAAAGATTTTATTTATATTTACGTCATTAATATTAAAAATATTTTTATTTATATAATTTTTTACACAAATGCCATTATAATAGTATTATAAGGCACTAATGAAATATTTTTGTCATTTCCTCTTAATTTGTACTATTTTTTAATATAATAATTAATATTCAAATATCAATCTGCAAAAATCTGCAAAAATAAACGAGGCCTTAGAGCTGGATGAATGTAGTATAATATTATTGTCTTAGGCTATTATGTCATGGTTACCGTAGACAAGAGAATTTAAAGAGAGATATAATTAGTAAATAATTAAAAATATTTTAGCAAAAATAATTACAATATAACAAGAATTATTATAAGTTAATATTAAGATAACTAATTAGTATAATTTAAATTAAAAAAATTATAAATTATAAAACTTTAAATTTGATTAGAGTGTATAATTTTAGTTTTTTTCTAAAAAAAAAATGACATAATATGTGAAACTGATAGAGAGTAATATAGACAACACATTATGGACATTATGGGTTTGTTTGTTTGGGGGTTTGGATTTTGAGTTGGAATTTGAATTGTAAAAATTTTGAATTTGAATAGTTGTATGATGTGATATAAATAAGTGTTGATGTGATGTTTTAAATGTAAAATTAATTTTTAGTATAATATAAAAAATAAAAAATAGGTGTTTGATTCGATATTTTTGGGGGAAAAAATATCCAATCCCCCAAACAAACACACCCATCCGTCCCACTTCTCATGTCCACCTTTCTATTTCCGTTCGTCCTACTTATTTTGTCATTTTTCATTTTTGAAAAGAATTATACACTTTAATCTTATTTTAAAAATTTTAATTTATAATTTTTTTAAATTTTAATTACACTAATAAGTTATCTTAATATTAATCTATATTATTTTTAGTATATGATAATTATTTTTACTAATACATTTTGAATTATTTACTAATTATACCCTTCTAAATTCCTGTATCTACAGTAAAATGGACAAAATATCCGAAACAGAAGGAGCATAATACAAATATAATATATAAACTAACCGCATATGATACACATGTCTTTATTAAACATATTGTGCGTAATAAAAATATGTAAAATTTATATACTATTCCTGCATTCTAACATATTGTACAAAATCTTTGTAAAAGAAATTTTGTAACAATAGTTTCAAAATACGAATAAACATCAAATAAGTTTAAGATATTTTTGTATAATAATATTTTAGAAAAAAATAAAAATAAAAATAAAATAATATAGTCTTATTTTTCAGTTCATATGTTCAAACAAATTTATGACGAGAAAAATAGTAATCTTTTATTCAATATCCAATTAAAATTATAAGAAATGTAACTAATTTTAATTATATTTTTATTACATATAACTATATGCATCTCTTTTTGAGTATTTTAAGAAGGCCTTTGCATATCTTCTCCAGTTATTTGTCTTTTGAATATATATTGAAAATAATAAAAGGGAAAGGGGAAAAGGGATTTAAGAAAATAAATAAATAATTTAAAATAATAAAAAATAAATAAGTAAAGTGAATTGTGTGGGCGTGAGAGATTCTGTTGTGTACAGAAAAGAGGCTCTGCAGTGTGTAGTGTGACTTTTATCTATTTATTCATTTTTATCCTCTTTACTTTTTATTTTCTTTTGTAAATTTTGGTTATATTACTTTTTTTTTTCTCACCAAATATGAGAATTTATTTGATTTTAATTTTAATTGTTTGTTTGAGTTTTATATTAATAAGTATTTTAATATATGAGGAAACAATAATGTATTTTTAGAAAAAATTGTGAGGGCTATTATTTTTATTTAAAATAAAAACAAGTTTCATTTTGATTTTATTTTATTTTTTAAATTTTAATCTAAATACTAATATTTTAAAATATTGTGTTAGACAAACTATTTATTCCAATTTTAAAAGTACATTACTCCTTCCGTGCAATTGAGAGGTTTGTTGGATATTACAGAAGAAGATAATAAAACAAGTTAGCAAATCTTCTATAGATTACTTAGTCAGTGCTGTGTGTGCACACTCAACGTTTGCTTGAAGAAGAAAAATTGAGATAAATATTACTCATACTAAAACCATTACAAGACTCCTCGAAATATATAGAGATACAAGAAAGATTCTAGAAACAACAACAATAAATGCAAACGCAAATATTAACGGAACTGTCCGAGCAGTAGATAAACAGTCACTAGACAAACCAGTAACTGCCAAACAAAAAAACTGCTATCTAAATGTTATGTTTGAAATCTTCTTGAACAAGTTTAATTTTCATCATTCTCCCCCCTAAAATTTGTTCCTCCTCGAACTTGCACACCAAGTTTCTTTCTCAATTGTTGAAAAACTTCAGCCTTCAGAGCTTTTGTGAATATATCTGCCACTTGATTATTTGTACTCACATGCTGCAATTCAACTTCCTTTGACTTCACATGCTCTCTGATGAAATGGAAACGAGTATCAATGTGTTTTGAGCGTTCATGATGAACTGGATTCTTTGCAAGTGCAATAGCAAACTTGTTGTCAATGTAGATCTTGGTCGGATGCTTCTGCTCTAACTTCAATTCACCGAGCAATGTTTTCAGCCAAATAGCATGGCAAACACAAGATGTTGCAGTAATGTATTTTGCCTCACAAGTAGATAATGCAACAATGGATTGCTTCTTCGAAGACCAAGTAAATGCACAACCAGAAAATAAAACATGAATCCTGTATTGCTCTTTCGATCATCACGGCTTCCGGCCCAATTACTATCACTAAACCCAACAAGATCAGGATTTTCTGTTGCTGAATATAACAATCCATAATCAATAGTACCTTTGATATATCTTAGGATTTTTTTTGCTGCCTTCAAATGAGATGCCTTTGGTGTCTCCATAAATCTGCTAACAAGCCCAACTCCATATAAAATATCAGGCCTGGTACATGTCAAGTACCTCAAACATCCCACAAGGCTCTTAAAATATATTGGATTTGTTGGCTTGCCTTCTCCTTCTTTGGTCAGAGCAGTCCCACACTCAACTGGTGTGTCCACAGGCTCACAATTTGTCATAGCGAATTTCTACAAAATTTCCTTAGCATGTTTTTCTTGTGACACCAATACGCTCGTTGCATCTCGATGCACTTCAATTCCAAGGAAATATCGCATCAAACCCAAGTCAGTCATCTCAAACTCTTTTTTCATCGACTGTTTGAACTCCTCAATCATAGAATCTTTGCTACATGTAAAGAACAGATCATCAACATATAAACAGATCAATAACAAGTCACCTGCAGAGTTCATCTTAGCATAAAGTGAGTGCTCGTATGGACACTTCAAGAAGCCATTTGCTAAGAAATACGAGTCAATTCTTGAGTTCCATGCCCTTGGTGCTTGCTTTAATCTACAAAGAGCCTTCTTCAATCTGTAAACTTTGTCTTCCTAACCTTCAATTTGAAATCCAGGGGGATGCTCAATATATACCTCTTTTTCAAGCTTTCCATTCAAAAATGCCGACTTGACATCCATCTGGTAGATCTTCTTATTTCTCTAGGCAGCAATGAAAATCAGTAATCTCACATTTTCAAGTTGTGCTACGGGGGCAAAAACCTCTTCATAATCAATCTCGTATTTCTGCTTGTACCCTTTCACCACCAATCTTGCTTTATGGCGCTCGACTTTTCCTACAGCATTTCTCTTTGTTTTGTACACCCATTTGATTCCAATGGATTTGTGATCTTCTGGAAGTGAAGTAAGCTCCCAGGTTTTGTTTTTCTGAATTGCTTGAATTTCTTCCTCCATAGCTTTCTGCCACTTAGGATTTTCAGCATCTCCTGAAATATTAGTGGGTCTATTCCAGCAAATAAACAAAAATTGTTGCATTCATCATCAATGTAATCTTCAAAAACCTCTGTGTTGTCAATTAACTCCTAAATACTCCTCATTCTCCTTATTGATGGACTCCTGAAATCATCACTATCAGATTTGCTTCCTCCACGGTTGGGTGTTGTTGCCCGAATATTTTCTGTTTCTTCCTCACCAACTTCAATTACTGGATTTTGTTTGCTCTGCTGCTTGCTGCTCTAGTCCCAGCATTTTTTGTCATCAAATGTCACATCTCTTGACATAATAATCTTCTTGGTAATTGGGTTGTACAGCTTGTAACCTCTGCAATTTTCACCATAGCCGAGTAAAATACACTTCTGGCTTTTGTCTTCAAGCTTTGTTCTTTTCTCCTCCTGCACCTTAGCATATGCAATGCTTCCAAAGATTTTGAGATGATCGACATTCGATTTCTGCTTGCTTCATGCTTCTTCTGGAGTGATGTCCCCAATTCTCTTTATTGGAAACCTGTTCAATAAATAGACTGCACAGGCTACAACATCTCCCCAAAACTCTTTTGGCACTATTCTTTCTTTCAGCATGCAACGAACCATGTTCATGATGGTTTTGTTCTTCCTCTTCGAAACTCCATTCTGTTAGGGCATTTGTGGCATAGTCAGTTGATGTTGTATGCTATGTTCCTTGCAGAATCTATCAAACTCCCTTGAGGTGTATTCTCATCCACAATCTGTCCTTAAGCATTTTAGGTATTTTCCACTCTGTTTCTCCACCAGATTCTTGAACTCCTTGAACGTGGTAAACACTTCACTCTTTTGTTTCATCATATACACCCATGTTTTGCCATTGTAATCATCTGTAAATGTCAAAAAAT